TATGCTTTTTGTTGTTTGTTTTACTAAAAAGGAAAACTACTGGTAAGCAAAAGAAATTTAAAAAATGGATTGAAAACCATGTGTGGTGGCACATACTGTAATCCCAGCAGTCTGGAAGGCTGGGATTTGGTGAGACCTTGTTTCAAAATAAAAAATAAAAAATGGTTGGGGGTGTAACTCAGTGTGGAGGCCATGGGTTCAATTCCTAGTACCACAGCCACCAAAAAATAAATAAATAAATAAACAAACAAACAAATAAATAAATAAATAAATAACAACCTGAAGTATTACCACTCAGATGTTACTGGTAACTCTGGTCTTTTTCCTGTTTAGAAATACATTGAGTCATATTTATAGTTATAATATATGCAGATATTTGAGCATTCTTCATCTTTTACATATTCAACTGCGTTGTTTTGAATCGACACATTGTAGTGGTGATGATAATGGCAGTTAACATTTAGTGACTGCCTAACTGGGTGCTAGATGTTGCTAAGCATTTCACTTGCCGGATTTAATCTTCACAGAAACCTTCTGGGGATTAGGTATTTAACTGTGTTTTTACCACTTAGGTCAGAGGCTGCCAGTATGGTACATTGACTTGAAATCTTGCCTTCTACCTGTTGTTCTATGGTCTGAGAGCTAAAAATAGTTACTGTATTTTTAAATGAAAAATGGAAAGAAATATATTTTGCGATACTCAAATTTTAACGTCGCTGGAGCTTTAATGGAGCACAACCACACTTGTTTACTGTTCCGTCCGCTTTTGCAGTACAGCGTCAGCGGTGACTTGTGACTTCAGTTTGTTCTAGATTATTTCTAATTTTTCCCTATTATGAAAGTACTATAGCGAACATTTTTGTTGCCGCTGGGGATTGAACCAAGGTCCTCACGTGTACTGGGCAGGTGCTCTACCACTGAGCTCTATCCACAGCCCTTGTAGTGAACATTTTCATGTCTTTATTTCCTTTATGAATTTTAATTGTAGAATCTTGGGTCCAAAGAACATGTAGAAATACAAGGCTTTTAATCCATACTGCCGAACTAATCTCTGGAATGTTTGCCAGTGAGTTGTTACTAGCCGTGGATGCATTGTTTTCCTGTGATTCTCAACACTGAGAAGAAACCTCTAAACATTACTGGCAGATTTTACATGAACAGTATAGTTCCAATGTGGCTTAATTTGGTTTTTTATTGTTTATGAGGCTGAATACTTATCTGTTTATTGACTATATTTCATTGGTAAATCACCATTTTTTGTCATTTGCCATATTCTTGTTATATCTTTTTAAAAAATTGATATTTGAGAACTTTTAAACTTATTTAACTTGGACTTTAAAGAGCTGGATACATGCTGCTAGTGGGAGAATATACGTATACAGTATAGCACATACACATATTTAATATACGTATAATGCATATATATACATTTTTAATTTTTTGAGGCAGGGTGTTGCAGTGTAATCCATGCTAGCCTTGAATTTCCTATGTAGCTCAGATTGGCCTTGTCCTCATAATCCTCTTACCTCAGCCTCCTGAATGCCTCCATGCCATGGAGAGTTTTAGCAACCACTAAAATCTACTTAAAAAATACATTTGCACGGGAAGTAAGCTAATATCTCACTGATATCTTTTCTGTTATAGATTTTATTTCTTCTTGATTTAAAAGGGAAGTACTTGAATTTGTATTTGGAAGATTAATTTAGGGCCTCACAGATTCTCAGAATTCCCTGGCTGTGGTTGGTTGCTGTGTGTCTGGCTCATTGTCAAGAAACGTTGTGGGGAAGGGCCAATTCTCTCTGAGAGCTGGTGGCATCCTTTTGTCAGGCAGTGTGAAGGATCCGCCTTTGTTAAATCAGAGAACTGTCCTGTTCGCGTAGTTACACTATTGGTACCCTACCTGCCTTGTGTTTTCTTTCCAAATGTCGAAAACAGCTCCGGTTTTATCTAATGTGAGAGAGAGGTAAGGAGTGTATAGAAGGGGCGGGTGGGGAGAATGTTGTGGGTGGTGAATCCCACCTTAGGGTTGGTGACGAACTTCTCTCTCTTTTCTTTCAGGACTATTCCTTTTCCAGTGTTCGTGTGGAGACGCCCCTCCTGCTAGTGGTGAATGGAAAGCCTCAGGGCTCCGGCAGTCAGGCTGCTGCCACGGTGGCATCACGACCACAGTGTGAATGACCTTTCCTTTTCCTGGCTTGCGTGCTACAGAGGTAGTGGTGGCGAGGAGATAAGCGTGAGGCACTGGGCCACTGGGTCGGCCACACCCAGCGACTCCACTGGGTTTGGCAGGGGTGTATTTTAAATGGAGACTTTGCCATCATTCCTTGCTCTGGAAGATCCTTTGTGTCTCTAACTCTTCCCTCTCATGGTCCAGATCCCTCCAGGGCCACACACTTCCCTGGTGTATCTGCTGCCTCTTTGACTGCTGTCTCTTTGAAGCAGAGTGTAGCACTGGTGGAAATATTTGGATCTTGCCATGGGCAAAAATCCCCAGGATTCCTGCTCTTGCCTCCTTCCTGAGTCTAATGTGTATATATCAGTTCAGTATTTATTGCTAAGGAAAGGGGCTTAACTTTTTAATGGCTTGATTTTGGAGCAATTTTTATTTTTATTTTAAAAATTTAAGTTCGTTCCCTTCTTTGGGTTTGTAACAGAATTAAACTTTTTTGGAAAAAAAAATACCTTGTAGTTTGGTCTGCTTTATTTTCTCTAGGCTTGGATTTGTGCTTTTAGGATCTCTTCAATCTATTGGAGTAATCTCTCCCCTTTTCTCTTTATATAAACAGTTTTTAAAATGGAAATGGCTCAGAAAAGGAATGATAGCTCCATAAATTTGCTGGAGACCAGTTTCTTTCCATTTTCCCTTTCTGTCCTCCCTAGTGGTGGTCCACCCCGTAGTTCAAGATGACACATCAATGGTCTTCTAATAGTGTTCCTATGCCCAAAAGACCAGAGATAGCTAGATGTTCAGTTTCTTTAGGTTCTAATGATACATTTTATAACAGTTTCTCAATATTTTGTGGAAAATGAAGAAATGTAAACAAGTCTTAATAACCAATTGAATGGCTGTACCAAAGTTAATGCATTTAGATGTATTTGGAAAACTTCTACTTCTAAGCACTTGCTGTTTTAGGGATATAGCTTAGGTCTTTTTCCTTGGTCTGGCCCTGTTCAGCTCTTGTTCAGTGATTTGAGTACTGGTGAAAACTTATAATGACTGCAAAAGACAGCTGAGAAAATGGATAACAGGATAACTTTCTGTCTAAAGAAGTTATAAAGGCTGAATCTAACAAGATAAAAATTTGAAGTCCATTCTTTCAGGCCAAAAAGGTTGACTTTCTGAAGTGTATCTTTAACATCATATGCCATAGGTCAGGTAAAGCCAGTATGAGTAACCAGTATGATATAATTGCAAAAACACACTTTTGGACTGCACTGAGGAATCTGTGATAACCAGAATGTTTAATACTGTGTCCCTTGTACCATACAGGGAGCCTTGTACCCAGTTTCCAGTGTTGATTTTGAGGAATATAGTTATAGAAGAGTGACCAGGAGTTTGTGGGCATATAAAATCCTGAGCGGTGGCCCAAAGCAACTGAGGAATAATGGTGATGAGTGTTAGAGACAGTAGAGAGATGAGACCCAGTAACTTCTCCTTCTACTGAAGTCCTGAGATGCTTTGACATATTCTATGTAGAGAAAGAAAGAAAAACAGTAGATGGTAACTAGACAGGAGCAATATGTACAAATAAGTGAGTATACAAAGTATATATGTACAGTTTAAAGAATAATTAGAATACCTGTGAAATGTCCATCTGTCATAAAAACTGGAACATCACTGAGAGTTTGGAAGCCCTTTGCATACCTCTCTATGATCTAATCTCTGCTAGGAGTGGATGACTCCCTATCCTCTTCCATGCTTAATGTTGTCTTTGGCTATTTTAAGACAACACTTTAGTTTTAACTGAATGGACCATTCATGATAACGAGTCTGCCGTACTCTTGCACATGGATATTTTAATTCAGTAAAGAATTATTGCTGAAGTTCCCAAAACTGAACTATGTTAGGAGAGGTGAATTCTTTTTCAAGACTGCTAGAAATGTAACTGAGGACACTATCTGGAAACAGCTACTTTAATTTTACATTTAGTTCTAATAGCTTATCACTCTGTGGAGCCTGCGTTTATTATTTACAATTCTGCTGTAACTGGTTGCTCAGAGAGTGGAGTGGCAGGTTTGGTGGGCTGAGTATTAATCTAGTTAGACAAAGTATTTCTAGATCACAGTATGAATAAAAAGTGGGTTCCCAATGAGGTCCCCATTTCCCGTCTCTCTCTCTAAAGCTCTAGATCTTACTCTCTTTTACATTTGAAATTTGTGTGCTAGTATGGAATAAATTGAATAATAAGAGAAAGCTTAAAGGTGCTGCCAAATTTGGTTAGGAGGCAGATGATTTCTGTGGCCTACGTGTGGAATAATGAGAAAAGAATCTTGTGAATAACTTCAGTGTTGATTAGCATTTTTACTGCTGTTAGTTCTTCCATGAAATCCTATACATAATCCTGGCTCTGTATACATGAGAGTTTTCTTTTGTCTGAAAAATACTTAGGGAAAATGATATTAAATCCACCAAAGGAGCCATTGTTTCTGTCAAATTTTAACTTGTCAGATTATAATTCAACAATTTATGGCCGGGCATTGTGGCACAGACCTGTGATCCCAGCACTCATGTGGCGGAGGCAGGAGGCTCACCTGCAAGTTTCCAGCCTAAACTACCCTGTCTCAAACAACAACAACAAAAACAAAAAAAAAAAACCCACAAAAAACATGCTGTTCTTATCAATTTAAATTATGAAATTAAAAAACTTAAAAGTTTAATCGTTATTAGTAGATGTTTGCAGTACATAATGATTACATTCATCATGGGGCGTGGGTACATATACATAATGTATCTTAATTCTTTTTACTTCCCCTTCCACTGCCCTCCCTTCACCCTCAACCTTGTGCTTGCAAGGCAGGCACAGTGCCACTGAGCTAAATCCCTGGCCCCCCTCTTTTTCCCCCCTACTTTTAATTTTTTTTCCTCATTGAGTTTATTGGTACATTTTAGGTATACAGTACAGGTACATTCATGACTGGGATCTTGTACCTTTACATGACAGGTCTTGGTTCTCATTTTTTCCCTTGTCCCTGCTCTCCCTTCACCCCCTCCTCCCCTATTTACCAAAATACTTTATTTCCATTGTCTCATATTTTTTTCTTTTCCCTTATTTCCCCTCCCCTTCCCACTTCCCCTACACCTTTAGCCCATTTTCCTATTTCACATTGTCAATTATACCACTAGGATCTTATGTACAATTAGTTTTTCACACTAGACAAACTTCGGTATTTACACATGTGTGACTTACTTATTTCACTTAAGAGTATATCCTCAATCTGCATCCATTTTCCTATGAATGACCCTAATTTCTCATCACTTTTTAAATACTCACAAAAGTAACGATGTTTCTGTCATTGGCAATTTAGCTTTGGTGAAATACAACAGTGATATTTTATAGCAGTTCTATATTCTCCAAATTTCTTTTTTATATATGATGGCCATCTATCCATGACAGATTTACCACATAATTTTGAAATGGCTATGGCTACATAAGTCTGCAGTTTATGGACATAGCATCTTTTGTTTAATTCTAATATTAATAATCATTCTTTGTTGTTTTTTAAAAAATTATGAATAATGTGAACACTTGCAATTTTTTTTTGTTTTTTTTTTGTTTTTTGAGGCAGGGTCTCACTAGGTAGAGACTGACCTGGAACTCACTATGTAGCCCAGGTCAGTCTCGAACTCACAGTGATCCTCCTGCCTCAGCCTCCTGAATGCTGGGATTACAGTTGTGCACCACCATGACCGGCTTGTATTTTTTTTTTTTTTTTTGGTGGTACCAGGGATCAAACTCTGGACTTTGTGCTTGCCTGTCAGGCGCAGTGCCACTGAGCTATATCCCACTTGCAATTTTTTGTATGCTTTGGAAGCATTTTTTTTTGGTTAATTTCATGAAGTGAAATTAATTTGATATTGCTAATTTGCATTTCATGAAGGATACATTGATTTATACTTAGGTGTTTCAACGAGTGCCTGTTTCTTCATGAGTTGTGTATGCTTTTTATGTCTGATAATATAATTATTTAAAATTTACATTTTTTGTGACTACTTTCCTAATAAAATACCTACTTATAAATTTGATAAGTGTAAAAGAGGGCATTTAAGACTGACAAAACTAAGAAATTTAGGGAGATAATATTTAGGAAATGATATACTACTTTGTACATCATAGTATAATGAGTTATAATTTCTTCACATGATTTGAACTCTTAAAGATAGACACAAATTCATGTTTACCTTTGAGTTATAGACATTGTCACATATTTCTTTTAGTGTAAGACGTTGCCTGATGAAATAACAAACGGTTAAATAGATTGTGGATTTGGGAAACTGTATAAACTAATATAGAGGATGTTGATACCTTGTATGCAGAGGAGTAGTGATTTGGGGATTTTGGTACCTTGATATGGAGCAGTAATGATTTTGAAAAGTATCTTTCGGCTTAAAGAGCCTATGGAATGGGGCTGTTTTGGTGGTAGTTGCTCTTGTTAAGTCAATGGACTGAAATAGACTACTATGGGAACAACAAACATTTTTGAAAGGTCATTCATTATTTCCATGTAAATTTATTGATCACTCTTGTTATTTACTAATCTCAGAGCTATGGCTTCCAAGGTGAGAAACTCAGAAAGCTCACATACTATAGTAAATATATGCAAATAATTAAAATGCAATGTCATAAGTACTGAGAGTGTAAGGACAGACACATTAAAGTCTACCTTGGGTAACCCATCACAGATATTCTCAAGAAAATTTTTGAACTAAATCTTGAAGGGTAATAAGCACTGCAGAATCACTTATGCAAAGGCAATGAAGTAAGAAAGAGCATAGAAATTTCCAGATATTAAAAATATAATAGGGGATCATTATATTAGAATTGGAAGAAAGCAAAAATGAAGTAGTAAGAGATAAACAAACCAAAACTTGGTGGCTGTGAGCCATGTCGAGGAGTGTCTTCCTGGAATTGTAGAGTTGTGGAGGGTTTTAAAACAAGAAATTACGTGATCAGATTTGTGTTTGAGAAGGACGAAGCTTTTGGCAGCATAGCCTACTTCTTAAACAGTAGAAGATCAGAAGATCAGGGTAACATAATGGAAGAGTCTAAACTCCAGAGACAGGATGCCTGGGTTCAAATTCCAGCTGTAATTCTGAAGTAATGAAGTACCTCCTCTCTGCTTGTCCTGTGTTGTGTTGCGCATGGGCTTCTCAATTAATTCTCACAAGAGTCCTGTGAGATCAGTAGTAGTATCCCTATTTTATAGCTGTACATGCTAAAACTCAGCTAAGTGAGAAAGATTCTCCCCTTGACCAAACTAGCCAGGCTTCTCGGAGCCCTTTCTGCAACCTTGGCCTATAAAGACTCAAACTAAACACTGAAATCCTTTCTAACACCCAGAGCTAACTCCCTAGGACAACCCTGGTCTTTCTTATAAAGTGCCTGGCTCAGAAAACAGG